CCGGCCACCCCAGGAACATTTCAGGCGCCCCCGAGAGGAAGATTTCAGGCACCCACCGGATGAAGATTTCGGAGGCCCTCCTGATGAAGACTTTAGGCATCCTCCTGAGGAGGACTTCAGGAGCCCCCAGGAGGAAGATTTTAGATGCCCTTCTGACGAGGACTTCAGGCGGCTCCCGGAGGAAGACCTCAGGGAACCTCCAGAGGAGGACCCTAGACTTCCTGACAGTTTTAGACCTCCTGGTGAGGAGTTTAGGAACCCACCTGATGACTTTAGAAGTCATCGTCCTTTAGTGAATTTTGGTCGCCCAGAAGGTGGCAAGTTTGATTTTGGAAAGCGCAGTATGGGAAGTTTTCCTGAGGGGAGATTTATGCCTGATCCAAAATTAAATTGTAGTTCAGGTAGAGTAACACCTATCAAGATAATGAATCTTCCATTTAAAGCTAATGTTAATGAAATTCTAGACTTTTTCCATGGTTATAGAATCATACCTGATTCAGTTTCGATACAGTATAATGAGCAAGGATTACCTACAGGGGAAGCCATTGTTGCTATGATAAACTATAATGAAGCTATGGCTGCTATTAAAGATCTAAATGATAGGCCAGTTGGCCCTCGAAAAGTTAAGTTAATTTTGCTCTAGAGAGCATTTCTAAATTCAGAGTTACTTCCCCACAGTATTGATGCAGTAAAATGCTTTTTTTTAAGTGTTTATTTTTAATGATCTAATGAAAAGAAACATTTTAATTTGACTTGTGAGTAGAACAAATGTAAATATTAGAATGTGAATCTGGTTTTCTTTTGCTTGCAAACTGCCACTCTTTCTCATTTACAATTATATATGGCTTTTTTTTTTTTTTTTTGGACAGTTGGGGAGAAAATTACAAGTGCATTAATTTTTGTTGATGTCATGGGTAAACCTCAAAACTTGTATAGTAGAGCTGTATTTGGGGAAGATAAATTTTATATTCACTTTTCGTTTCCCTTCTGTAGTCTACATCTTATACTGTATAAGGAAATGGTCAGTGACTGATTGTTCAGGTTTAGCATTTTTATTGCTAATTTGCCTGCAGAATTAATGCCCTCTTCTTTGTCCAAGATATTACTGTGTTAGCCTCCCATTAATTATAAATAGTTGAAAACAGACAGACTGTGAATTTGAAGTTTACTTATGTAAAAAGCTTAGGAGATTCTTGAAGTTTCCATGTTCATAACTTTGCAAAGTTTTATAAAAATAAAAAATTGCAAATGTATAGACCAACTAACTAACTTTACTTGTATTCGTATAAAAAAAAAAGAATTACAGCTTCTTCTGTGAAGTTTTCAACAGCTACCTTAGTATTTATGATAGAACGGACCAAACATCCTATAATAATAGCATAGAGAGTTATGTGTACATCTGTGGTTTCCTCTACATTTCATCAACCAAACTGCTAAGTTTTACTCAAAATACTTAAAAGACAAAAAGTAACTGTAGCTATAAAGGACATTCAGGCTTCTGCTGGGAAGAATCTTGATAAATGGATATAGTTTGTTTTTAGGAAGAATTTAGAATTTAGTCCTTTAGTAGGTTTTTTTTTTTTTTGTAGTTTTTATTAGGTTCTCATTTTTAAATTTCAAGACTTTGAATCCAAAGACTCAATAACTAAATATAATCAGACTTTTATGAGACTGAATTTTGACTTCTTCGATATTTAGTGTGGGCGTTTATATTATAAACACTGGATTTGGCTTTTTTTTATAACCCATAATATAATAATGGCTAACATTTATTAGGTACTTACTGTATGCTAGGCAGTGAAAGTGCTTTACATGCATAATCTCAGTTTAAATATTCCCTAGGAAGTATGGACTATTTTATCTATTTCAGCAAGTGAGATAATGAAGTTTAGAGGTTAAGTAACTTGCCTAAAATCATAGCTAGTAAATCATGGAGCTAATTTCAACCTAGACCACTGATTCCAGTTCATGCTCTTAACACTTTAGCCTACTAACTTTGTTAAGTGGTACTTCTAATTTTAGTAAGATCATGCCGAAGATATTTTGAAGAGTAAACCAGTATTTTCTTTACACATTGCTGCTTTAAAAATAGCATTAAAAACAAAATTAGTATGCTCATTGTTCATAAAAGACAAATTAACTTTAAAAGTTTTTATGTATCCAGAGACAAATTAACTTTAAAAGTTTTTATGTATCCAGGGCTTCTCTTGGATAATAACATTAGAAATTGACTTCTAATTAAAAATTGTTTATCAAATATGATTTGACTTTGGTTGACCTTTTAGTTTACATAAAACCAGGTTAATTTTTCTCAGTTCTGTGATCCAGAGGTTTCCTATTTATTCTTACTTGCTGAGCAAGTAAGAATAAAATTTGAATTTACATATGGTAGTTTAGTCACTTAATAATAGGATATAGCAGAAGTAGAATACTTTGTCAGCACTTAGCTATTTACTACCATTTTGGATGAATCTTCAGTGATTTAAGAAGTCTAAGAGAAACCAACTCAAGTTTCTGTGTGTTTAATTCTAGTGAATACAACTTCTAGTAGAATGAATAAACTGGTAATTTGGTTTGAAAAAGCACATCAGTATGGCTCTTCAAACTATAAGTTTATAAATATCTAGGAGAATGATAAACTAAACATCAACAAAATAGGAAAAAATTATATTTTTGAATGCTCAGATTATATAGATGAATCAGTCTTCTTGGGGAATGTATGGAAGACTTTAAAATACTTCTCAAATAAATTATCAGTAAGAGCTAAGATGAAGCCTAACAGTGAAATACCCCATAATATGGAACTTTTTCTTAAAATGGGCTGGGGTATGATGGTGGTAGTAAATAAAAGGTCAACAGTAGTAAACACAAGCTTTGTATTTTGATTGTAAACTAAATGAATTGATAGGAACAGCTAACGTTACCCCATAATCATTTAGTTCATAACCTTTAAAAATTAGAAGTTAATTACAGAAAACTGGCTTCTACTGGTTAGGAACCATTTATGCGTATCTTTTCCAACTCTGCTTTCAGTGGTATATTGGTGACTTAAATTGGCCATGGTAGAAGTTCTTATGCCACCGAAGTTGGCAAATGCAACAAATCAGGGCATTTTCCATGTTGGAGAGCCAGTTTACGAAGCACACCACCAATTTCAAACACATAAAAGAGAATACTGTGCTAAGTTCTTATACACCCATTGATAGTTTACCTTGAACAACCTGGGTTTGAACTGCAAATATCCACTTAAACGTAGAATTTTTTCGATAAATACAGTGTAACACTAGGTATTTTCTATGATTTTAATGATATTTTGTTTTCTCTAGCTGACTTTATTGTAAGAATACAATATATAATACGCAAAATACACGTTGATTAACTGTTACTGGTAAGGCCTTTGATCAAGAGAAGGCTATTAAGTTTGGGGGGAATCAAAAGTTATGTGGATTTCAACTGCACAGAGGTCAGCACCCCTGACCCTGGCATAGTTCAAGGGTCAACTGTATCAGCCAGTTTTGCCTCCTCTTTCCTACTCCCATCAGGTACACTAAGAGCATACTGGTTCTCCAGCTAAATATCCAGCGGCATTTTAATTATCTTAAAGCCATCGCTTCTCGGCCTTTTGGCTAAGATCAAGTGTAATTATCTTAAAGCCAGACGTTTTTGTCAGAAGGTATCTGGAAAATACAGTTTATGTCTAGAAAGTAAAAATGATCCCATAAACAAATGTTAATGTTAATCATTACATTGGGAGTACACTTAACCACTCACTGAGAATACTGTCCAGAGCAGTGGCTCTTGGTTCACATATCACCTATTAAGTAGTGACCCCATTACTTCCATCTTTGTATTAAATGTTAGTTATTACTGAGCTGCATTAGATACTACATACTTATGATCTATAATTATGAATTAACTGTATCATTTATTCTCAATAACCCTAATAAACTTATTTTGGAGAGAAGAAATGGAGGCCTATATGGACCATTTACCCCAAAAGTAACTGGTTAGGTTACCTGTTTTTTTTTTACAAGGAAGCTGGAAGAGGTTTTAGTTTTTAAAGGTGGTTACATTTTTCAGTGTGTGTGAGTAAAGCAATAGAAGTTTATTAAGTGAAGATACAGAAAAAGCTTTCAAGAGTGAGAGGTGTCCCAACAGGGTTGCCTTGCTGATGAGGGTCTTTAGGGTTGTCTTTTATAGAAAGCTAACTAGGGAACTTGGATCCTTTTTAACATCTCTATTGATAACACCTTCAATGGCTTACTTCCTTTTTAGGGGCTCAGTTATTTTTTTTGTTGGTCACAGGTGATTATCGTAAGACATCCACCCCAACCACCTAGGGTATAAAGGTGGTTACATTTTAAATGATTATGTAAGTACCTATGTAATAGCGTTGATTGTGTTTTCTCAGCACACAAATACTTACTTTAGCCCTTTAAGAAAAAGTTTGCCAACCTAAGTCTGATCTACAAGAAAATTTTACATTGCTGGAAGTATTATGTATAGTAATCCTTTTGTCTTTTTTTTTTTTTTTTTTTGAGATTTTATTAGCACGAGCGGGGAGGAAGGGCAGAGGGAAAGGGAGAAGCAGACTCCCCACCAAGCAAGGAGCCTGATGTGGGACTTGGATCCCAGAACCCTGCGATTATGACCTGAGCCACCCAGGCGCCCTAGAATATTTCTTTGAAGTAGGCAGAGAATTCATTTTATATCAGAACTATTTGCTGACTGCTTTATGTATCAGGCACTATTTTAACTTTATAGATAGGGCAGCTAATGCTCAAGAGACATGAGCTGCTATTACAAACAAGAAATACTGTAACTTTTTTTTCCTCCCAGCTACAACACCACAGTTACATACCAAAAAATAAAAATGCAATAGCTTGAGTGTCTTAATTCATTTACGTTTTAAAACATTTTGAATATTTTGTTTAGAAAGTACTTAAGTAATTTTATCACTTAGGACTATTCTCAGGAAGCAATGTTTTGTTAACAGAACCATGGAAAACAAAGTCAAAAAGCTTTCTGTAAAGCCTTTATTTGTCTGTTATGAATAATTGTTTTTTGTGTTACCCCAAATGATTTAAAAATTTCATTATTTTTATATGCCTGACTAGTATCCATGAAATATCAAAAGTGCAGTCCCCGTCCAAAGAAACAAATGGGCATACTGAAAGGCTCTGATTAAATTGATTATTTTCAGGAATAAAAGTAACTATATCCTCTTTCATTAATTAGATGGTGGTTTGGTTTAATGATTTTCCATGATGTTTTCTTAGCAACATTCTACCAAATTACAGCTTTCCAAAAGTTGTAGTTTTGTGTATAATTCTTTAGTCTGATAGCATTTTCATTCTGAAACTCGAATCAGGCTGAATGTAGCTTTCTTTGTCAATCTAAAATTTATGCTAAATTTTAACCTAAAATTTAAGACACTGATATCCTAGTGCCCATTACCTTTAATCAGAAGTAATAACACTCTTGTTGAAAACTAAATTATCAAACAATGAAACTTAAGGTTATAGTAAAAGTGAAAATGAGGAAAGGAAAAAAAACCCTTGTCTTTTTTATTAAGGCTTTATGGAATAGAATTTGTATTTAATCAGAATGACTAAAGACCCTTTTTTGGCAATGAAAGCAAAAGAAACAAGTCAAATTGTTAGATCTCTTGTTTTTTCTCACCTAGTTATATTGCAACCTCAACTATGTATAGTGCATTAATATGAAATACTTTTGAAATACATAATTTTTTAAAAAATGGAACCTATACAAAAATCACATACTGTTGGATAGGATGTTGAAATGACTGGTGTGTAATATTTTTTAAAACCTTCAGTTTTTGTCAGCACAAATTTCCTTTAATTTTCATTTCCAGTGGGATTTCATTTTGAGGTTTATCGTGTATGAAGCCAGTATAAAGTTTTACATTGTATTAATTCTGGATTCCAAGTCATTTAAGATGAAAACTGAAAGGTGGAGTTTACTTAAGATTAATTTTCTTCTTCTGTGACATCTAAGTCTTCATCCTCTTCATCATCATCTTCTGCCTGTTGATCCTTTCTTAGTCGACAGGTGGATACCTGTTAGAAGTTAACACATTAAAAAATATATTAACTTAAAATATTTTTACATGCTTATCTTTTTAATATGCCCCTACAGAGAAGGGCACATAGAACATATTTCAGGAAGTTAATTTTTAGTAATGAAACTTTCCTATGAGTTACTGTATTTTTTTTTTTTTTAAGATTTTATTTAACAGAGATCACAAGTAGGCAGAGAGGCAGGCAGGGGGTGGGGGGTGCTGAGCAGAGAGCCCAATGCAGGGGCTTAACCCACTGAGCCACCCAGGTGCCCCTAAATTACTGTATTCTAAGGCTGAAAACAGTCAGAGTTTCTTCATTCATTTATCATGTTATGTTTGAGCAAAAATAGGAAATTAACCATTCCATTTCAGTTGGATACCAGCACTTCAATAACATAAAATACTTCAGAGAAAGGGTACAGATTCAGGATATTATGTCAAATATATTTTAGGTTAAGTAATTCCTCGGTCACAAGGTTTTTGTAAACCGGCATTTCAGTGAGAATCATCAAAGGTATAGGAAAAACTTTCAAGAATATTTCAGCTACATAGCTGAAATACTAAAATTTAATACTGTGATTTAAATGGAATGAGTTGAGAATCTGAATTCACTACTTGGCTTTAAGTCCTGATCATTGCCTCTTGGGTCATCTTGCTTCAGAACTTTCTGAGAGTCATCTGGTAATGTCTGGAGTCATTGCTGTCACATCTAGGGGGGTGTGTTTGTGTGTGTTACTGGTATCTTGTGGGTAGAGGCTAGTGATGCAGTTGAACATGTTTAGAATGCACAGGACATTACTCCCCATTCCCTTGCCAAATTATCTGGCTCAAAGTCAATAATGGGAGGTCAAGAAACCCTAGAATGAAGTACTTTTAAAGTACTACACAGATGTTAGCTCATTTTGGTAACATTAGTACCTGGAAATGGAAACAAACTTCGTATGTACTATAATACTAGGTATATGGAACTCACGTGTAAGAAACTTTATGCTGGAATAATAAAAATGTTAAAAAGTTGGTTCCGGGAGAGAGGCATACATATAAAGCAGTAAATAAATGCGTAGAGGAGAACCAAATGAAAATAGAAGGTACTGGGTCACATTTACCAAAAAGTTAAATTTTGAAAGTATTTTGCTCTATTTTAAATTCTGAATACTGGATGTGAAAAAGGGTATAGATCTCTAGATCAGAAGTTGGCAAGTGTTATACCCCAGTTTCCCTCCTGTTTATGTAAATAAAGTCTTACTGTAACAGCCCAGCGGAACTGTTAATGTATTGTTTATGGCTGCCCTTACTAGGGACATAGACCATATGGCCCATTTTTTCTCCAGCTTCTTAGAAAGCAAGGTTGTTCACCCCTCCCCATTTTAGATCTCAGATAACTCAGGCTTTCTTGATGTGGAAGAAATGAGAAAATTGACTCTTATCTAAAGATATGTGCTTCTGTATCTAAGATAATGTTCAGCAAAAAGATCTTTTTTAAGGAATAATTTTTAGTAAGTCATGATAGTGGAATTTTTAAACCCTAAGCAGTTTGACTTCAGAATCTGGCTCTTCATATTATACTGCAGAACAAATCTAGATTAGCATTCTCCTGTCCTCTCCACCTCTGCTCTCAAATGTTCTGCTTTGGAGAGTATTATGTGCTATAGTATACAAAATAAGAAGAGAGCTGCACCTAGTGTAATCTTCCACCATTTTATATAAGAAGGTAGGAGGGTAAATATTAAGTCAGGACTTAAGGGAAACATTTTTAGTACTGAACAACAAAGGCATCTGCTTAAATTCCTTTAAAATTATGTATGGTTTCTAGCTTACCTGTCCTGTTCCAGATATACACTTAGCCGAGAGTGATCTTTGAAGAGGCGACTTTGAATTTGCTCTTACGATATCTAAACGGGATGAATAATGTGGTGGATACACAGAATTTCGGAAAACCTGTTGGGACGATAAAGCAACATTATAACAGATAGGAAACACTGGGAGTCCAGAAACCATATTAAGTTCTTCTTAGTTAAGATTTTTTTTAAGCAACGACATCCACCCACCCACTTGCACCTCCCAGGACAAAATTTCTATTACTATTAATTTAAAAAATTAAATACAAAAAATGTATATTTTAAAACATTTATTTACTTGAGAGAGAGTACATGCACAAGCAAGGGAGGGGCAGAGGGAGAGAGAGGATCCCATGCAGGCTTCATGCCCAGCAAGGAGCTGGTTTCTCAGGGCTCCATTTCATGACCCTGAGATATGACCCGAGCCAAAATCAAGAGTCAGACACTTGACTGAGTCACCCAGATGCCCCAAAAACAAACAATATTTTCAGTTGTAAAGATGAAAGCTAAAAAGTTTATTTGAGCCAAGTAAAGTGACAATGGGTTCTAAAACCATCACATGAGAGCTTTTGCTGAGGAAATGTGTAAGTTGCTACCCTCAGAGGATTCTTGCCAGTACTGAGGCTTCAAGTCAGTCATACCTTTGGTTCTTTGTCTTCTGCCTATCTCAACTCTTACCAATTTAACTTCACTGCAGTATTCTGATAGTATATCACCTAAGTTGGAGCCAGTATAATTTATACATTCCAATTTCACTAGAAACTGGAATACTTTTGTCAGTTTTTTTCCTTAAAGCAGCAGTTCCAAATACCACTCTCTTAAGCCTGTCTATACCTTTGTCTTCTCCCATTTCTCTAACATACAAATAGGTACAGTTACCATATGTGAATTTCTTCAGCTTCACTCCCTTTTTCCTCAACTCTTCACCCTTCCCTCCTCCTGCCCCTTTTAAGCAAATGTCATTCTGATTCTTTCCACAGTGCGTATTTCCAGTATGCAAAAACTTGAAACCAAAAACACTTGCTTTCTCCACAGGTTCTTTCCCCCAGCAAACAAGCTCAAGATAGTCTTTTTTTAATATTCTACTTCATCTCTATTTGTCAAAAACATACAGGTAGGCTTTCACCTTCCACTGAGATGGCTCTTGCCAAAAATCACCAAGGCCATCTTGATCGTTACTGAACTGGTTATGAAACTTCTTTTCCATGCATGACATCTCTAAACTCTTCATGTGCTAGCTGCCCTATTTCTTCACATCTCCTTTTCTACTGCTTATACCTTAAATATTTTTAAAGGGTTTCCCTTAGGCCATTTTTTTTTTCTTTTTACACCTTTCTCTGAAAGATCTTATCTATATAGTGTTTAATGCCCACCTTTCAATGAATTCTCTATAGGCTTTCTCCTGGTAGCCATACTTCTGTGCCCAACTACTTTCTGTTCTCACAGACCAATACCGTCTAGTAGCACTTTCTGAGGTGATGGAAATGCTTGCTATTTTGTGCCGTCCAAAATGGCTACATGTGGTTACCAAGCCCTTGAAATGTAGTTCATATGAATGAGGAACTGAATTTTTAACTTTAGCCACATTTGCCTAGTGGCTACTGTGTTGGACAGTGTAGTTCTACATTAACCTTTACAATGAAAGATGTTACCATACATTTAGTAAAGCAAACTAAACCCTGGACATTGTCCCTCAATTTCTCATCTGAGGTACTTCTATTTTAATTTATTGACTCTACACATCTTTCTTTGTAGCTTACTTAGAATTATCTTACTGAAGACCAAAATATATTATTAAAAAACCTTCTGGGCTCCTGACTACCCAGGATCCAAATTCTTTAGGTGATATTGAAGGCTTAAGACCACTTAACCTACTTATTAACTTAAACCTACTTATTACTCTTCACTTCTAGCCTATGAACCTACATGTAGAACATATTCTACTCTGCCTTTGCAATGCTGATTTCTCAGCCCAGAATTCCAGCAAACTCACCATTCAAGAGCCAAGTCAAATACCATCTTCCAGTTTCTCCTATTCTCTAGCCAGTCTATTTCTCCTATTCTCTAGCTCCTATTGTTCATACTTTCAACACAGCTTTCATTTCATTGTTCTGTAATTACATATCTATCTCTCTTACTAGTTTTAAGTTCCTCTAGAGCAAGGAGCCTTGTTTGATTTTTCAACTCCTCCCAGCTTAAAACAGTAACATGATAAGTAAATGATGTTAACATGACCTTAATCCCCATGTTTTGGGTGGGGGGGAACCTCAAACTAAGGGATGTCTCTGCACATTTCTTTAAACCTTAGAGCAGTGCAAGACACCAAAGAAATCGATGAAACCTAGCTCCACAGGTGAGACTTGTGTTTTAGGGCACTTCAGCCATGCTAATTAGATTATTTACATGTTATTGAGGACTGAATAACGTTTTGGTGCCAGATATGAACACTGGCACCCAAGTATGATATAAAAACTAGGTGACTCATTAACCAACTAGTATTTGGAAAGGATATATTTTTGTTAGAAAAACATTCCTTTTTTAACTGCCCTAGCAAAGATGAGGTTCAAAGTGGGAAATGGAAGACAGTATACATTCATGAGATTAAAGTTCAAACCAGGTAAATATTAAAATTATCTCAGTGCAAAACAACAGATTTACAGGAATATTTATTGGCAATAATGCATTTCCCAATATGGTCCAAGATCTCTTCTAGGAGTAAGTCTCAAGATGTTCTGAAGTGATTGCACAGAGGTGGTCTTTTGAAGGGGAAATGAGCCCAACAATGCTTTTTTATGTGAAGAACAAATAAGGTAAGATGGTTTGTAATATAACTAGATGCCTAACTGCAAAAAATTAGCTGCTACCAGAATAAGTCTTAGCAGTTCTCGTAAAGCATGGACTACCTAAGAAAAATAGCAAGTTCTTTCTCTGTTCTTCTTCAGATATTTTCTCTACTTATTTCCAAGAAATGTTTGTTGAAAGGATACTTTTCTCCTTGGTACTTGTTTGATATCATTTTACTTCCCCTGGTCCCACAGCTTTCCCTAGACTTAACTCCTCTCTTCTCCATGCCAGTCTCGATAGCCACAATATAGTTTATTCTTATAGTCTGTTATGCCTCAGGATCTTTGTGTAGCTGTCTGTATCCGTTGCCTGAACGGTGTTGCCAGGGGTTCTCTACACATCCCTCAAACTTCTCATTGAGAAATCATTCTTTGATTTCTCTAGACTATTTAGAATCCTCTATCACATATGCTTAAAATACACTATATTTTTTTATGAGACTGGTCATATTATAAAACTTAAATAGTTACACAGCACAGGCATACCTGGTTTTATTGCATTTCACTTTATTGTAGTTCAGATACTCTGTTTTTTACAAACTGAAGGTTTGTGGCAACCCTGCTTCAATCAAGTCTGTCAGTGCCATTTTCCCAGCAGCATTTGCTCACCTCCTATCTCTGTGTCACATTTTGATAATTATTGCAATAGTTTAACCTCTTTCACTATTACTATGTATGTTATGGTGACCTGTGAACAGTGATTATGACTCACTGAAAGCTTAGATGATGGTTAGCATTTTTTAGCAATAAAACATTTAATTTAGGTTTGTATACTTTTTTAAAGATCTAATGCTATTGGATACTTAAGAGACTATAGTATACAATACCATATATTAACTATACTGGAATTAAAATTAAAAACTTAAAAAATAGATTATAGTATAGTATAAATATAACTTTTTTAAGCACTGGAAAACTGGAAAATTCATCTGACTTGCTTTGTTGTGATACTCCTTTTGTTGCAGAGGTCTGGACTGCTGCAATCTCTCTTGAGGTATGCCTGTATGTTTTTTAATGTGTGAACTCCAAGGTAGATTTTTAAGTTTTTGCTCTGACAGATCAGATCATTTCTAATTTACAGTGCTAAATCCTCAGAACTTAGAATGCTGCCTGCCATATAACAGGTGCTCAATAAATAGTTGTTCAATGAACATTTAATGAGGCAAATACTTTATCTCCATTTTAGGGATAAGGAAGCTGAAGTATGAAAAACTTACTCAGTATTGCCTCACTACGAAGTGGGGACTTTGATACTTTGTTGAAAATATATCTACCACACAGCCCTGAGATCCTTAGGTTTTCTTGAATCTCTACTCTCTCGAGCTACCTAGCTAGCTGATTAATATTAGTAAGAGAAATGGTGTGACAAAAAAACCTAGCTAGGACCTCTGGAATGAGAAGGAAGATCTTGGGGTCCAAAGGAAATGAAGGTACTTTAGTGACTGTTAACAAGTGGCACGTCAAGGACATTAGAAAAAGGAGAATGAAAATACTTGTGAAGAGGAAAAGTGGGGGATCAATTCTGAACCTGCCATTTAGTGCAGTGTTGTTTCTTGTAGGGAATGGTGCACATCACTCACCAAGAAGCACACTCTGTGCAGGACAGAGAGGGTAATACAAACAGTGTCAGTAGTCGACTTCCGGGTTTGGTCCTAGCTATATTACTTATTAGTTATGGGACCCTCTGGGAAGTTTCTTAACCTTGTTCTGCCTAGCTTTTCTCTTCCATAGATATCAGGACAATAAGTACTTCTATCAAAGTTGATGGGAGAATTAAAATATAATTAAAATGCACAGATCAGTAGCTGTCCAAAGTAATCACTATATAAACATTTTCTATTTTATTATTTTACAAATGACAGAAGCTTGGTCTATTTTTTTAAAAAACATAGTACATGAAAGGAGTGAAAATTAAGAAACCTTAGCTTTAGTATTTGGAAAGAATGGACACTTAGGAAACCATCTATTGATAAACAGAAATATGATCATATATGCATAACTGATAACAAACTGGGAGGTGAGATGTTGGCACTGGAAAACATATACACATATATTAAAAAATGTGCCTTTCTTCATTTTAGACAAGCTGTAGTCTGTTTCAGTTTCCTGGAACCAGTGGAGTAGTGAGAAGGCCCAGGTGATTGCTTTATGATGGACAGTTAATAAATAAACAACTTGGGGAATCTTCACAATTGTCAAATGGCAGACACTCCCAAATTCTATCACTTATTAATATAGAATTCCGGTTATATCTTGAAACTACCTGGCCTTTTTCACTTCTACTACAGAGATAAAATATGGATAAAGTATGTCTCCAATATTTTATCTGTTTTAGCAAAAATACTTTTCTTTTTTCTTCCCTTGCAGAATGTAGGAGGGTAAGATATTTACTCTTCAGATGTGCTTGCTGAAGCCAGGCTTAGATATTTAGGTGTTCTGACATTAGCTGGTCAATTGGATTTGCACTGAACTCTCAGTACGAAGCAAGTTTTAGTATAAATCTACATTTATTTCATAGCATACTGATTAAATCACACAAAACTGGTCAGAATCCTGATTCTACTATTTATAGCTAAGCAGCTATGGTCAAGTTAAGTTACTTAAAGCCTCTAAACCTGTTCTGATAGTTGTAAAATGAAAATAATAACAGCATCTATCTTATAGGATTGTGTGAGGAGTGAATGAGAAAATGCATGTGAAGCTTTGGGTATTCTGCATAGCATAAGGACTCAAATGTTAGCACAAATCAATGTCATGATTAGTATACTTAAGTGACATCACCAGTCAAAAATGATACATTGTTTCACATAATGGCCTTATTAACCAGCAATTAATAAATTAACTCTTGGAACTTTACCATGGTTAATTTAAAAGTTAAAAATACGTACTTAGAAAATCATAAAAGTTTAGCTGTTTGGGACTGCACACAGTAATATAAACCACTGTAGTTGAAATTTAAGATATTTTTACCCACACAACCTAATGCTTTCTTTTAAATATTTCCATCTTAATAGAAGAACTGAACTTGGACAGACATAGTCCTACCTCCAGATCTTCTTCTTCATCAATCTTTTGTATGTTTTGGTAGGCAGCAGTGTAGACCTCTAAAGCTTTGCCATGAAATAACATTTCAATAGTGATAAATTCTGAAAATATAATCTAAAAAAAAAAAACCAAACATTTTGAATTTAAACAATCATCAATTTGTAAAATCAGTAAATTTATTCCTTACTGTAGTCTTGGCATTTTATGAAATACAGAGGTATCTCTTTCCACAGGGCAAATGAAGTACAAAAGATAACAGGAATAAAAACAGTTGCAAAGACCTTTTACAGCACAGCCTTGAAATTATACAAAATACTTCCTATCTCACCATTTACTTCCCACTTATTTTTTAAGTTAGTTTTTTGTATACCTTGTAATTGACATTTGTGATAAAAAGATCTGACTAAAATGTATATACCATTATGTACTCTGTTATCATTTGTCTCTAAGTATTAGATAAAGCAGGTCAGTTTTAAACCTGGTATTTTGTAATTCCAACTGATGTTTAAACAATAGAATGTTTTTTAGACAGGAATTATATCCCATCATATTTCTATGTGTTCTTGTATTCTCTAACCACAAAGGAATTACTTGCTAATTATATTGTTACCACTGATGATAGTATCATGCATTTGCATAGCCTTCTAGTTTACAACATGACTTGTCTAGTGTTGCTCATAGCTAGAATGTTGAAACTTGGGTCTGATTCTTCAATGGTTACAGTTCTTATTGTACTGTGCTATTTTTGCTGGAATCAATCGTTTCTTTCATAAATAAACTGCATGTAAACCCTGTAAGCTTGATAACAACTTAAGACAAGGAAGATGATACACTAAGAGAATGAATGAAGATGTACATGTTGATCTAAGCAGGGGTGAGATCATCGGTAGGTAAGGAAAGGATACAAACCAGACAAGTTTTCAATAAAATAGGATCTTTTCCTTTTGTTAACTTGTCCCTTATCAAAATAAAAAATCAGAGCATTAAAGTAGAAAGAAGTGGATGAGGTAGAAAATACTCAAGCATTGTCCTTAAAGGGGCAAGAGAGAAGAGATGGGATATAGAAGGATCAAATAATAGAAATCGTCCTGTACTTTGGAAGACAGTGTCACAGATATCCTTTAGTGTCCTTTAATTCCCCCCACCCCCGATCCCCATTCTTTCTTAAGGATTAAAAGAATTATTTAAGGGAGTACTGATAGGCTTCTGATCACTACTCAATGTAAACATTGTAAATGTAAACAGTTGAAAAGTGTCCCTTCTGGTCTACAAAGATTGGGCTCTGGGTTAAGACACAATTATGACTCAACAGTGACCTTTACTGTCAATTCCTATAGGTCACAGAGGATTGTGGTATACTGTAATGGCAACTAATAAGCAGCATTATGCCTAAGAATCTCCAGATACCCAGGAGATACCTTCGAGGTGAACTGGCTTTTGATTAGGACTGAGACTTACTTAGTTGTCAGTCTTCCTAAGATAGCTAGCTGCCTAGCTAGAAAGGAATCAAGTGCCCTTTAGGAGTGTGGGAACTCCTAGAGGGAAAATGGTGGAATAGTCAATGATAAGCCAAAACACTGAAGACTCCTACTTGGTTCTGGTCTGCAGCTCATTTTAGGTAATGGGAACAATCAAGCACAACCTTGCATCTTTCCTTCTGAATCTTAAATTTAGAGATTTTCTACATTTAGTAAATAAAGAACTATATAAAAAATATGTAGTTTGACTTTCTTTTTTTTAAGATTTTATTTATTTATTTGATAGAGATCACAAGTAGGCAGAGAGGCAGGTAGAGAGAGGGGAGGAAGCAGGCTCCCCGCTGAGCAGGGAGCCTGATGCGGGGCTCAATTGATCTCAGGACCCTGGGATCATGACCTGAGCCGAAGGCAGAGGCCTTAACCCACTGAGCCACCCAGGTGCCCCAGTTTGACTTTATTTTTATTCAAGGCTGGAACAGAAAACTTTCTCATTTAGTTAGGCTTAGAATTATACAATAAACCCTTAAACTTGTTTCAGGTAAGTACAGAGAGGTGGAGAAGCAGATTTTACAATGTTACATAGTCAACTATGTTTTAGTTTTTCTTGGATATTTACAGACCATCTGTTTACTTATGTGGAGAGATAAGAGAAGGTATTTATCTTATGCTATAAAAGTATCTGAGAAATAAAATAGCCTCAAATAAGGGATTTAAGCTTAATCAAGTGAGGTGTTACTCCTATTTTTAAATATTTTCACAGATGTATATTCTAAATCTTTACACACTGTTTAGTAACTAATGAAATCCAAACATTTACAACCTTATTACACCTAAATCTGTAGATTTAGGTCTAATTCAAATCTGTTCCACTGTTGTAACTTTGTAGAATACACCAACATTTTAAAGTATTTTTCAAATATGTGAACATAGTTATTAAATTCCTGATGGTCAGAATCTCTGAATGTGTCATCTCTGAACTAACAATTATTTAATACTGCATTTTATAGGATTTATAGTCCCCTTAGTTCATAAGCCCTGAAAAATATGAAGGTATGTCTGGCAATACATTATTTTTATTCATTATCCCTGATAAGAGAAACTACTACATTCTCATTTTAAGACACTGATCAGCTTTTAGTCTGTTACCATTTTCCAATCTCAAAATTTAGTTTCAATTAACAATAATTACTTTACAAATTATCTTTATAAATGGGTATTATTTACTATGTGGAAGGTGGGAGGAATCATTTTCCAGTTTTGTGATATTTTGGTTTAATCCTCTATGGTTTGAACTTTTCTTTTTGTTTTTTAAGATTTATTTATGTATTTATTACAGAGACACAGCGAGAGAGGGAACACAAGCAGGGGGAGTGGGAGAGGGGGAAGTAGGCTTCCTGCTGAGCAGGGAGCCTGATGTGGACCTCGATACCAGGACCCTGGGATCGTGATCTTAGCCAAAGGCAGACGCTTAACGACTGAGTCACCCAGGCACCCAAACTTTTATTTGACAAAACCTGTATTATAACACCTAAATAAGAGGAGAATGGCCCTACTGATTGTTTATACTGTTTATTTTTGTCAGAAACAGTAATGGGAAATCAATAGTACTGGTAATCTGGTATCCCAGACTTGGAATTTTTGACTCAAGAGTCATGAAGCCTAAAGATTATCACAGAAGAGAGTTAAATCCTCAAGTATAGTCAGAAGAGAGTACTGCCAATCATACTCTTTCTAGTTAGAATTTCACAAAATATCTGAAAATAGGCAGAAGGAGAATAACAGCAAGGAACAGCAAAAGTTAGATGACAACTAATGTAAGAAAGAATATAAAAAGCATGTTTTTGAAATAAAATATTTTCAGTGAATGACCAGAAGGGTGGTGGAACTTTCTAAGAACCAATTATATTTAGAAATAATTTTCCTCAAATAAATATAGCTAACTTTCAGTGATCTCATGTAATCTTACCTGGAATGGGTCAGTATGATCAGGGACAGAAGCATTAATGATTTTTTTCCCCTTCTCAATTTTATTTTATTTATTTATTTTTTAGATTTTATTTATTTGTCAGAGAGAGTACAAGCAGGCAGAGGCAGAGGGAGAAGCAGGCTCGTGTTGAGCAAGGAGCCCGACGTGGGACTCCATCCCAGGACCCCGGGATCATGACCGGAGTCGAAGGCAGCCGCTTAAGCGACTGAGCCACCCAGGCTTCCCTTCAATTTTGTTTTGTGTGACTTGAAGGCAATTTGGGCACCTACTCAATTTTCATTGGTGGGGATGGGAGAGCTAATGTGAAATTCTTACCTGCTGACAAGTATTCTGTAAAACAGGAGAGTATAGTAGTAAAGAATATGGGCTCTGGATTAAGATAAATCTGGGTTCCAATCATACAAACATAAGGGCTATATAATATTAAGCACTTTATTCTTTTCTCTAGTTTTTTTCATCTGTACAATGGGGAGAACAACAGTACCAACCTCATAGATTTTGGGGTTAAAGATTAAATGAGATAACCTAATACAGTACGGTAACTGGGTGCTCAAAGCAAGTTAGCTATTTTTATTACTCAAGAAGTACACTTGCTAAGTTAGAAAATGTTCTTTTTCCTAATATTAAAGCCTCCAACTGATTTAATTAGCAAGCAAGACTTTTAGCAAAAAACTCATAAAAGGTCTTACTAACATTTTGGCAAATAAAGGGGAAATAATGATTCTCCAGATTAGAGGCTATTCAATAAATGATGTCAAGAGTAAGTTTTATCTACTTGAAAAGAATGAAATTAGATATCTACCTCATAACCATATGTAAAACACAACTACCAGATAAAATGCTTAAATATTTAAAAATTATTAGATATCACAAATACTTGAAGAAAATATAAGCAAGTATTTATATAATCTTAAGAATAAAAACAACCTTTGTAAGCATGACACTATGTCATGAAATCAAGTCAAGAAGTCAAGAAATCAAAAAGGAGAAGACCAACAGATCTGGCTACAAAAATGAAACTTTAAGGCAAAAACACATCATAAACAACAAAATGAGAAAATACTTTGCAACATAGCTTCTCTTTAAGAGTTAATTTTCTCAATATAAAGACTTTTTATAAATTCATAAGAAAACTACCAATATTTAATAAAAATACAGGCTAAGGGCAAGTGTGGGTAATTTACTAAAGAAGAAATAAGTGTGTCATTAAATATATGAAAATAATTTTGTCTTAAGAGTAGTGACTACAAATTAAGATGACACTGATTCTTTCACCTGTCAGATTAGTTATTAAAAATACTGCTACATTTCATTGGTATACTGAGCTGCTCATGCAAGGTTTTATAGAAATGCTAGTTAAAACTTTGTGGACAGAAATTTAAAGCTTTGTGGACAGACAGTATCAAAATTTAAAAGATATATGCTCTTTGAGTCAGAAGTGTCACTGATAATTTATCTAAAGAGAATAACTGGATCAAAAAAAGGCCAGTGTTTAATGATACAATGAGATTTATAATTGCAAAAGTAACCTAGATGTCCACCAATAAGGAATGGTTAGATACAATAATATATCCATAACAAAATACTATGAGGATACCAAAAAGTATGATATGCATCTGTTTCTTAGCAAATATGTCCATGATACATATTAAATTTTAAAAGGATGTTTGAGGAATAAATGTTTATCCACATAAAATGTGTAGAATATGTGACAGTCAATACCTAAGAAAATTGGTTGTTATTATCTCTTGTGTATATATGCATAGAAAAAAAAAAGTTGGAATGCTATAAACCAGAATGCTAACTGATTATTTCTGACTGGTAGGATTATTGCATTTTTCTCAATACTTTTATGAAAAATTTATGGTGACTTTATATTTAGTTGTAAGAAAAATAAAGCTTTTAAAAATTAAATTTAGATGTTTCTTGCTCATGTCAGCTACTTTGCCATATACTGCATTCCTGTCCCTCTCTGTTGCAGGAGTGAACCCTGGTCAAGATCGTTTCTATAGGTCTGAAATTCCCTTGAGATTCATTTTCCAATTACATGGGAAACAAAGAGGATTGTGATTTTTTTTTTCCTTGAAAGACAGGAGGAGGAATGAGCAGGGGGAGGGGCAGAGAGGGAGAGAGAATTTTAAGGAGGCTGTATGCCCAGCATGGAGCCCGCTGTGGGGCTCCATCTCATGACCCTGGGATCATGACCTGAGCCAAAATCAAGAGTCGGGATTTTTAACTGCTTAACCGAGGAAGCCACTCAGGCACCCCAGGGACTGTGATTTTTCATTCACATTGTGTACAGTAAGTTCCATAACTTTTCTCAGAAAGACAAATATTTTGCAAGGTTCCTATGAAAAGTATCTAAAAATTGTGCTACCTTGCTGATTAATGCTACCAAAATTCAGATGGACTTATAAATTAAACCCACCCTGAAAACACAGTGCTTACTCATTTCTACCCCCAGAGAGGTTAAGGAAGGAGCCAGAAGGTCTGTTCCCATCTGAAGCAGTAGCCTGATTACAGGTAAGAATAAGAATGTTCTATGTTTCTCTCAAAATTATGAGTGGCATCCATGATTTTTACTTTTCTAAGAATTTTTCTTGTAAATAGAAATGTGACACATACTAACATCAACAAAGGCAGGCAGCAATCTAACTCTTTTTGACTTGTCTTTGAAGCTTCTGGTATGGGATTTGTGCATCCCTCTTCATCATAAAAGATCTCAAATGAGGCCTGACTTGGAAAAGAAACAATTTGATACTAAGGAGGAAAGATGTATAAAATGGAGATTTAGAACTGTAACAGAGTTTAATGTTGACTTCTGGAAACCATTTCTGGAAGTTTGCTAGATCACGGGAGTCTGCATTTAAAGTGTAGGTTGTGACAGGTGACATCTTATATGTAGAAAATCCTAAGGAATCCACTAAAAAATTATCAATGCTCATAAATGAGTTCTGGAAGGTTGCAGGATATAAGATCAGTGTGCAAAATTAAATTATTTCTGGGTACATTAGCAATGAACATCCCAGAAATGAAATTAAATAAACATCCATTTACAATAGCATCGAGAATTCTAAAATACTTAAGAAAAAGTTTAAGAAGCATAGGGGCGCCTGGGTGGCTCAGTGGTTTAAAGCCTCTGCCTTCAGCTCGGGTCGTGGTCTCGGGGTCCTGGGATTGGGCCCCGCATGGGGTTCTCTGCTCGGCAGGGAGCCTGTTTCCCCCTCTCTCTCTGCCTGCCTCTCTGCCTGCTTGTGATCTCTGTCAAATAAATGGGTAAAATCTTTAAAAAAAAAAAAAAAGAAGCATAAAACTTATACTCTGAAAACTACAAACATGGTTGAAAATACATTAAGGACTATTTAAATAAATGGAAAAATATTCCATGTTCATGGATTGGAAAAATTTTAAGATGGCAATACTCCCCAAACTGACTTACAGAGTTGATGCAATCTGTACCAGCATCCCACCTGACTTCTTTATAGAAACTGAAAAGCTGATTGTAAAATTCATACAGAATTACAACAGATCCAGAATAGCAAAACAACCTTAAAAAAGAACAAAGGAAAACTCATACATTCTGATTTTAAAATTCATATAAAGCAATGCTAATGAATAAAGTGTGATACTAGCATAAAGAGAAATCTATAGATCAATGAAAGACAAACCAGAAACAAAACCATGTCAACCGGTCTTCAAAAAGAGTTCCAAGACTATTCAATGGGAAAGAATAGCTTCTTCAGCAAATGGTGCTCGGGCAAATGGACAGTCACATGCAAAAAGATGAAGTTTAAACTTCAGTTCACACCATACATAAAAATTAACTCAGATGGATTAAAGGCTTAACCGAATCATGAAAACTATACAACTATTAGAAGAAAATAGGGATAAATCTTCAAGATCTCAAGATTTGGAAGTGGACTGTTATATATAACACTAAAAACATTAGCAACAAAAGAAACATATTGGACTTCATCAAAATTACAAATTTTCTGCTTCAAGGAATACCATTAAGATACTGAAAAGAACCCTAAGAATAGGAGAAAATAATTTCCAATCATAGATCTGAAAAGGGACTTGTATCCAGAATAGAAAAAGAACAACTACCACTCAAAAAGAACCCAATTAAAATATGGGCAATGGATCTCAATGGACATTTCTTCAAGGAAGACATACAATGGCCAATAAGCATTAGCAGCAAAATGCAACTCAAAACCACAATGAGATACCATTTCACACCCACTAGGATGGCTGTAATGAAACTAATGAACAGCAAGTACTGGTGAGGATGCAGAAGAATCTGAACCCTCATATACCACCTGTTGGAATGTACATGGTGCAAGAAGTTTCTCAAATGATTAAAGATAGGGTTACCACAGAATCCAGCAATTTAATTAGATATATGAGTAAGAAAAATGAAAAAATATATATCCAAACAAAAACTTCTTGTCTTATAGCCACATAATGAAATATTTGGCCACGAAAAGGAATGCATGACACTAGGATACATACTATGATATGAAAGCATATATATAGCTAATATACATACAATACATACACACATATATGTAGCTAATAATAAAAGATTATGCTAAGTCAAAGAAGCCAGTTACAAAAACCATGTTATGATTCCGTTCACATAAAATGGCCCGAGTAGCTGAATCCATATAGACTTCAGATTAGTGGTAGTTGCTTAGGGCTGGGGTGGTGGTGGGAGGATTGGGGTGTGGGAAGCAGCAAAGTACTAGGTCCTACTTTGAGATGGTAACAATGTTCTAAAATTGAGTGGTAATGGCTGCACATACTGGAACACATTAAAACCACTGAGTTGTACATTTTAAATGGGTGAACCGTATGGTGTATGAATTCTATCTCAATTTTTTAAAAAGTAGGTTTCTTCTTGTCTTATACTTTTGGTGACCACTAAAAGACTTCCTTCCAGGGCAACCTGGAAAGTTCCTTCCAGGGCAACCTGGAAAGCTTGAAAGCCCTTTTCTTCTTTGTGCATCCTCCACTGTGCAGTCCCTCTATGTCCTCATGCTTCAGCCAATCCCAGGTAGTAGAACTACAGTTGGGAATTCTGCACTCACTTTCTCTCTGCCCATTTTGTAACTGGTGATTGCACAGGGAATTAAAAACATCTGTAGAGGTAGTCTGAGCCTGATGTGAGCCCAAAGATCAGAGACACAGACTGCCACGTGTGAAAGACAGTCTTGCAGGCATGCAGGGCAGTAGGAGTGGGGAATCAGACTGCCATCACTAACAAAGCCCTTGGGTGGCAGTGGAATCAAGCATACCTCACAGGTCTCCATTCTCATCGTTCAGGTTAAAGCTAATTATTTTAATAACCTTTCCTTTCTCCTTCAAGTTAAGATATGATGTCAGCAAGTATAAAACATCCTAGCTTGCCCACACTCTCTCACCTCAGTAAATGGGAGTCTGTCGCAGGGCAGCTTTCTGAGATGCTCTTCATGCAGTGTACAGCAGAGTACCAAGTGAATCGAGAGGCTTTAGGAAAGAGGGTTTGGGTCTTCAGGACCAAACCAGAGACCTCTGAGCATGGCTATCAGAAATACCAAAGTTCTGAAATTGTTTGAAACTATGATGGGGGGAGAAGAAGTGCAAATGAATGTTGACTCACGGACTGTAAAAAGGAATGATTATTAAGTGGCAGATGCTTATTTTATTGATGAGAATATAACTTTTGAAGGATGTGTTCTTTGTTAATAGTTATAAAATGACACAATACTTTTCTTTAAAGCTTGATCCTGGAAAATCTGCAGTGAGCCAAAACACATCCTAGATGACTTGCTTTAAAGGACTTAATTTAATTTGGTCACAAGCAATCCTCCAATCTGTCCAGGCGCCTATGACAAAGTCACTGAAGACCTTCTGAAGTCCATGATCCCAAAGGTGTCAAATCTACTGGCTTTTTACAATAAAATAAGGCAATTCTTGTGATACCATATCATGGTGGATGCAGCTTGGCAGATGCAACTTTATGTGACTGGCTACTCTTACCTGTTCATTTACTTGGTAACATGTAGTTACTAGAGAGCACTTAATGAGAGTGTGTTCTAATGGAAAGCACAGATTTTTAAAATACATTATTGGTTTTTAGTTCAGATTTTTGGCCATGATACTTTGGGTAAATTACTTTATATCTCTGCTTAGACTTCACATAAGATATGGATAACAGTACCTAATTCTTAAGAGGTTGCTATAAAGATTAAAAGATAATACATATATAGTACCTGTAACAGCACTGGATGTACAAAAATATAATAAATGTTAGTTTCCTTTGATTAAATAATACTTGTAATAAGCTGAATATCTGAGGAAACGGGAAAATAACATTTGGTATTTTTTATTTATAGTATCTTTTTCATATAGACTATGGGCTAAAAAAATCAGTAGTTTCAATTTTTCATACATTTAAATAAAACAAAAAAAAAAGGTTAGAAAACATGTTTTGAACTTTAACAGTTACTTTGTTTACCTTTATATCCTTTATTTTCTGCTTTTCAAAATTGTCAATAGTTTCCTCCAGATGACGAGTTGTTCGGGTAGCATCCATTGTAGCTCTCTGCAATTCAGTTTCTGCCTGCAAAAGAATTCCCCAGCCAAAGATATAAAAAAATGCAAGTTAGAATCCATTCAACTGAGTCTATTCGTAAATGTTATCATTGCATTACTGGCTTTTCGGCACAACAACCATAAACTGTTCAATAATATATTTCACCATATAAAATAAGATGATCTATGTAATAAGCATGTGCAGAATAAAGAAATCTTTAAATCTGTTAAGTGACATGATTCCTGACTTCAAACCAAAGAAAATAAAACTCCCCTTTCTTCCTACACAACCATTTTTTTTTCCTGTACCACCTTTGGATTATTTACTGTAAAACAATTTTCTACTGTTTTCACCTATTTCACTTTCTATGCCATTTATCATTTGTTCTCTTTCTTCTCATTGTTTCCCCTTTAATCCCTTCTCTCCAAAAAAGGACCTGTGACTTAACTATTTTCAATTTTCTAGTTCTCCAAATGCATTATGTTTCTAATCTTGTAATATCCTAATCAGATATAGTAGGATATACACTACAAATATTTATTTCAGCACAGGGTATATTTTATATTCTTAGAAGCTCACAGTATTACACTATTACCATTGAGTTAGTGCTTAGTACAAAAAATATACAAACCGGCAACAAATTAGATGGCAAGTCTAATGCTTTGCTTCATATATTGTAACCACAAGCACTCATACTACCTAGATCGGTGTTGTATAATCAATATGGTGGCCAATAGCCACATGTGGCTGTTTACATCAAGATTAAATGAAAATTTAAAAACTCTGTCTTCATTTATCCTAATTGCATTTCAAGAGCTCAATAGCCATATGTTGCTAGTGGCTATAGTAAAGGGCAGAACACTTCCAATCTACTCATGTATTTCTCCTAAAAATTATCTCTTACTTTAAAACAACTGTTGCCCAAAAATATTTTGTTAAACAGTAGAGGTTTTAAAAAACATAGCCTAATTGTCTGATTAAATTCTAATAGTTTTGTATCCTATACTAATGTAGTATATTTACTCAAAAGTATCAAATATCATCATTTAATAATTAATCCATGGAGAAAATATGCATTTCTCATCAAAGTGTAGTGACATATATTATTCTAACATCTAGCCCTTGCTTTCAAGAAAAGATATAAATTGAAATAAATAAAAGAGTTTACTATAAGGATCCATTTCTTGACACACCACTTTATTACCCACCTGTGACTGAAATTTTTCATAAAGGAAAAAATACATTTCAAGGAGAACAATTTTTTAAAATAAAATCATATGCTCACGGAATTATATAATCTTGCAATTAGATTATACATTAATTATAGCTTCATAGTGATTATTCTTACATTTAGATTAACTCAAATGTACAACTTTAAGATACTAGGTGTAAAAAATACTTTAATACATGTTTGTATGTGTACATTTGCCATATAGGGTGTAAAGTTTTTTAAAATCATATAAACTTTTAACTTTTAATCACACCCAGTAATCAAAAATAATCTTCTAGGGGTGCCTGGGTGGCTCAGTCGTTAAACGTCTGCCTTCGGCTCATGTCATGATCCTAGGGTCATGGGATCGAGTCCTGTATCGGGCTTCCTGTTCTGCGGGGAGCCTGCCTTCTCCTTCTCCCACTCCCCCTGGTTGTGCTCCCTCTCTTGCTGTGTCTCTCTGTCAAATAAATAAAATCTTTAAAAAATATAATAATTTTCTATTATTACTGGGCTTGAGGTTTTTAAAAATGTAACTTTATCACAGCAAATTCTAAAGTAAAATAGAGCTCCTTTATAGATTTGTATGAAAAATTTCTAAGTTATTTGATACACATTAACTTACTAATGAGAATATTCTAGCAGACTAATTTCTTACTAATAGTACATGTGACCCATACAGTTCTTTACTTGTGACTACTTCCTTTTGACTTATGTCTTTGCCCTCCCCATTTTATCAGAAGTTTCACATTTAAAAAAAAAACAGTTTTAAAATTTAGATGGGTAGGTAGAATTAGCTAAACCAGGGAAGAGTGGGGAAGCAGAAGCTACAGCTGGGCCATCTTAATCTTCCACGACCCTCCAGCAACTACTTTTCATTTCTGAAAGTCTCATATCCTTTTACATTGGGATAGCAACTCACCCAAAATTACACAGCTATTTTTAGCAAAGAGGATATGGGTTTCTATTTCTTCTTTTTTCTGAAAATTCTTCAAAATCCTATAATCCTATAATGGATCAAGTTGAGTAGGAAATGCTTTTGATTAAGATACTATGCTACAACTCTATGAGTAGAGGTGTCAGTGTATTTAATGAAATTAGTCCTGAATGCAAAAGGGCTTCTGAAATGGTGAGCCAGAGCCCTGAGATTCTTCTTTACCCCATCTTCTTCTATCAGTGCTACTCCATGTTATTTTACATACTGAACTTTAACATGCTTCTTTTGAATTGTCAGATGAATTTTAGGGGTCCATCCTGGTAAATATTCCATAATGCAATGACTGAACATTTTTATATTTACAATGAGTATGTTTATATCTAGACTGTCCTTTATTTTCTAGTCTTAGGTTGTCAAAATCCACTCGTTTCCCCAGTGAGCACAGCAGTTCTCCTACAGTAATAATCTGCTCCTTTGTTGTATTTATTTTCCCCCACATGATCCCAAATCTAGTTTCATCTACAGTATAAGACTTCTCCATGGCAGTGTTCACAACAGACCATCTAAGTCAGAAACATTTTTGTCTTAGTGATATTCATTTCTGTGTTGAGTCTCCAGACCAGTACCCCTGATTCAATCCTACCAACCTGCTCAGGATACCAGATGTGACCTTTTTCCTGCCTTTATGTATTTCCCTCCAAACAAAACAATAAAATTTTGACCTCTGATTTCTTAAAAACCGGTGACAACCTGGTCTCTCCCTTAGTCCCTAGTTGTCAGTCATAAATTTTCCAGCATTCTCTGGTTTGCCTGACTTGCTTAAAACCCAGACTCCATAATCTAGTTGTAGATCTTAAGCCTCAATGAGATGTTCCTGCCCCAATCTCCACTAGGCACTCCCAAACCTATGGCTGCCCATTTTTGTTTGTTGCAAGGTTGGGCATATGTACCTTTAGTCCAACGGAAGAAGGACCAGGCAATTGGTGCAGCCCAAAATCACTGCTCAAGGGATTCCCCTCAGGAACAGAGGTGTTCTGGAACCTCAAATGCCCCCACAGAGCCACTCCTCATGTGGTTTCTGGCTGAGCTGGGCAGTAAAAACCTCCAGGAAGTAGGAAGGAGATGTAAGAAGGAATGGGAAAGAGACGCAGCCGATAAACAAGTACTTTCTATACAATTGCACTTACCCCAATTGCTGGCAATTAGCCAGGGACTATTTTCTATTCTTTTCTTTAGTCATGAACAGGGTATGTTCTAGCTTAAGTAACAGTCATTCTTAACAGAAGAGCCTTGTTACAGTAGACAGTCCTATCTAGATCCTTTTGTGTCCAGCTATGAATCTCAATTTTACTCTAGAATCTCCTAAGGGTCTTTGGCTGCTAGTCGTTAATTGCGGTTTCACGTTGTTGTTGTTTTTAAAGGTGAAGGGAATTATACTGCGGCAAAATGACTCTTTTTTCTCAAAAGTGGGGCAGACAGGGCATTATTATATTAGGATTCACAACAGATCTTTAAGTTAATTTTATAATTAATATTCAGCTATGTGGAAAAAAAAACCCAGAATTTTGAACTTACTTTTTATACAAATATCGTTGGTTTTAACTGTTTTATTTTTTTAAATATCTATTATGGAAAACAGTATGAGGGAATTGAATTAGATGGTGTATTCTCTTTAAAATTAGTTGATTTTTATATAATGAGAATTTGTAAATGCATGTGTTTTTCAACTGTTATATTCAAATTTTCTGCACATTTAAAAGGAGAAAGGCATAATTTCCATATATATTTACTTTTGTACGGCATACCTTACAAAGCACATTTTTAAAGATCAAAAGTCAAAGGATACAATGACATGTCGATCAGATGGGTTTCGCTGACGTGTTCTTTCTAACTGAGTTAACTGTTTAGCTTCTCGATTCCTTGCTGTTAATGTTGCTTTGAGGTCATCCTGAAAATAAGCATTTTGATTAATGAAAATCTCTGATTTAAGAAATAAAATGCACATACTCTGTTTTAAGAATGGGAGAACACTGTTTGGTCCAGGCATTATTACTACTGCAAAATTAGTGTGTGTCTTTGTGTGAGTGTGTGCACATGTGTGTTTCTTTAATACCCTCTCAAATAATGACACAGACAAGATAATTTCAATGCAAACCTCTAACAACATATATATTATATATATATATATATATATATATATATATATATATATATAAAATTTTGATTGTGGTGGTAGTTACATGTGTATACACATTTGTCAAAACTCAATGAACACTTAAAACAGGAGAATTTTATTGCCTGTAAATTATACGTCCAAGTTGGTTGAAAAATAGATAGAATCTGGGGTCGTAACATACAATATGGTGACTATAGTCACTAACACTGGATTGCATATTTGAAAGTTGTTATGATTACATCTTAGAAGTCCTCATCAAAGGAAAATAAAATTTCTAACTATGTATGGTGATGGATGTTAACTAGACTTGTGGTGGTCACTGCACAATATATACAGCTATTGAATCATTGTATTGTACACTTAAAACTAATATGTCAGTTATACCTCAAAAAAAAAACACAGAACTTTGTCACACTCACTTTTAGTATACATGTTATTGCCTGCTTTAAAAAGAAAAATACAAACCTATTCATTTAGTAAAATAAGTTCTTCATGATTATAAATATTAATAGTTTAAAGTTTCTGTAATAAAGTATTGCTTCATGTTGCTACGGTTTACTTAGTAAGCTCACTAAAAATATTTCATTTTTCTCAAGATTTTTTTTAAGATTTTTTATTTATTTATTTGAGCTAGAGAGAACATGAGCAGAGGGAGCAACAGAGGGAGAGGAGAAGTGGGCTCTCCGCTGAGCAGGGAGCCCGATGCTGCAGGGACATGGGGCTTGATCCCAGGACCCTGGGATCATGACCTGAGCTGAAGGCAGAAGCTTAACCAACTGAGCCACCCAGGTGCCCCCATTATTCTCAAAGTTCTAAGAAATGATGCATCACAGAGCGTGTAAAAAAAATTGGGTAACAACGCTGTACTTTTTATCAAGAGGACAGATTAGAAACCTCACATTCTTTGCCATAATAGTTAATAATAGCAGGAAAAATGAATTTACTTACTCGTTTCATTTTTACAATGGTTCCATAAGCTTTCAAAGGTTCAACTACTTTGGCTTCAAGTCTTTCAACCTATTGAAAATTATTATAAAATGTAACTGTAAAGAAAATAGACATATCAAAATTTAAATTTAAAACCTGGGCTATTTAACCTGAACATAATTAATTACTACATAGAGTAATGTTTTAAAATGTTTAAAATATCACAGTTAATAAATAAAAGAATAATTACCAGAAATTAATAAAACTCAGAATCTAAAGTCAAACACAATAAAAGCTGTTAAGATGTAGAATAACAATGAAAGCAGAAAAGTTTAAAAAAAAAAAAAGCAAGCAGAAAAGTACCTAGTATGGAATATGGAAAGAAAACAATGTCAGGTTTCTAAGAAATTTATCTCTGCCATACGATCATCTCTGTATTATTTTTCTTCATTATAGTAGCTTTTGTGTAAGTTTCAAGACATCTCAAATTTTAGTACAGCTACCACTTGCAGTGTATTTAGGACAGTGTCGGATATTTTACATAAATTATCCCTGAAATGTAATAGTCCAACTTGCCAGATAAGAAAATTGAAGCTGAAAGATACAGCATATTGGAAAAATTTTAAGCAACACAATCCTCAAAAGCAAAAAACAATTGTATTAGCTGCAATTGTTTTCTGGGAAGCCATTGTATATGACCAAAGCTTGGAGAAAAAAGATAAATGGTCTCAGTGTTGCTGAGCTGTCAAACTGCATGGTTGATCTTTTTATTTAGAATTAAACTGTTTTTCTTAAACATTACAATTTTTATCACATTTTGAGTAATTACTTCCTTTAACAGCACTAGTGGAAGGCAATGAAGAAATGGGTTTTTTAAAGGCAAATATAGCAAAAGAAAAATAACTCCTGGACATTAATATTTTCTTCATCAGGACAAGTAATACAGAATGACATTATTTAATTGTTTAAAATGAACATGTATTATTTTTGCAGCAGGAAGAAGGCTTTTTTTTGGATGATACATATTTATATAGTACATTTCATTTCATACTGATTTTTTTCTATAAACAAGATGTGTATGATTGTTTTGCTTTAAAAGTTATTAGGAAAATGAAAAAAATCAAGTTCTCTTTGAGCATTTATAAATATTAGGAATCCTAAAATCAAAACCATGAATACTCAGGATAGTTTAGCCTATACCATTTCAAATAATCCATACACCGATTATTCAGTGCAAGGATTATTCAAGTCTTTTTTTCTGTTCTCCTTTTTGTTGCCTACCTTTTGTTCATTGTTCATTAGCACCTCCACCATTTGGTAAGCAAGGGAAATAAAAAAGGAGAACAAATGTAAATCAATTCACTTTGCTATTTGATAAATAGCATAAAGGTTTTCTAAAAGGGGGCATTGAAATTATTGTCTTAACATGGGATTTTAGGGTTATCAGTGAGAATAAATTATTTTTGAAGTCTCCAGTTAATGTGTAACTGAGTATATTACAGAATATCGTATGACAAGAACTCAACTTTTCTCAAAAAGTACCTCCAAATGTAATTACTACTCAAATTTCTGTATGAATAGCAAGTATAGGTTCAAAGATCATTATCTCCACTTTGTTTTTGTGAGTTTTTTTGATGCCTGAAATTTCTGTATTCGGCTTTTTAAAAGTACCAAAAGCACTCATGAGAGGAGCACAAGAGAAGTAATGCTGCTTCTAACTGGGAAACTTCTAACATTAATCTGTATCTTGAAACCTAAAATAAATATAAGTGAAAGTGTTTCTGAGGTATTAAAAAAAATTAGGTTTTAGAAAGAAAACAATTACAACACCACCTTCTTCCCTCCTTTCCATAGCAAAAACAAAACAAAACAAAAGCACCCCACAAAGTCTCACTAGTATCTGCGATATAAATCAGTATATCAGTGCTGCTTTTCTTTTTGTCAATGCAATATTGGTCAACTTTCCAGAGCACTGAAGCAACAAAGATCTCTTGTCCATTTATTACTTATCCACTCACATTACCACTCAACCATCTCCAGACATACCTGAAAATATACTTACGTGCATACAAGACACAAGTCATGATCCTTTTCTTCCCCATGGATACTAAGTTTACTACCCCCTGTTAATAGCCACCCCTTGGCCAAAAGCTGGCAAATGAAGTGGAGAAATTGAGGACTTCAGGATACCCTGAAGTTTAGTTTGAAAACGGTACAATCACAAATCACAGGAATCTTCCCTTTAATAGACTCACACAACGTTACATGAAAATGTACGTTTGTCATCAAGGGTGCGTTCGCTACTGCAGTTAGGTGGATTACAAGTGAAAGTCTTCACGGGTCCTTCATCCACTACTTCAGGGCTCATTCATAACAATGACGCTGAGACCTCCATACCTCTGCTTGTCGATAATCCTGAAGTTTGGCAAACTCATCGGCAAAGTTTTTCAGGCCCTGCTTTAAATTTGGGGTCTCTGTAGAGGCATACACGTTTATTTCATTCACCAGTAGGTCTGCTTTGTCTCGCAGTCTGGCAGTTTTCCTTACATAAGCAGCAAAGATTTGGCACAGCTCTCCGAAATGCTTCTCCACGTTTGTGACAGCATCTTGCAGCTGTCTGGTTTGAGCGTCCCTAGGGAAAAGAGGACACAAAACGCCAATCATTCTCATTCGAGATGAGATGGCTTCATCTCCGTTAATTTGATATGCAAACATTCCCGGGGCATTTTTGAGCTTCGAAGGCACAAACCATCTCTGGGGATTGGATTCTGGTCCTCTAGGTCTCCCTTCGGGGCCTGGCTTTAATATCCGGACAGTACAGACGCACGAAAAGGCCGGGCTCTTGCCAGCCGCGCCGGGGTGGCGGCGGCTCCGGCTGCTCCGCGAGGCCCGGGCGCCCGGCAGCCTCCCAGCCGTCTGCACAGCCCGCGGCAGTGCGGGGCCCGGGGAGCGTGACGCCCAGATCGCCCACCCCACCCTTGGCCTGCGGGGCTCGCTGCAGCCCGGGGAGGTAGGCCCCAGAGCGTAAAGGTCTCGGTCCACACCCCGGCCGGGGGTCGGAATTCGGCGCGGAGGCCCCCAGGAGAGAGGCGCCACTTCCCCCACCCGAGCCCTCGCATGTGGGGGGCCCTGGCCAGCGGAGGCCCTGGGACTGTTACCGGTTTTCCAAGCTGCGCCTCAACATCTTGGCTAGCGCACTGCCGGGGAACCGGGCTGGGCCCAACGACCTGGGCTCGGAGGCGTCCGAGCGTGCGCCGGGGCGCGAGCCGCCACCTCCCGGAGCCTAAGAGCCCGCCCCGCGCGCCGCCGCCCCGGCCCCGGCGTTTCTACGGCAACGCAGCGCGTCCCCGCGCTCAGGGCCCGAGTCGGCGGGAGCGCGGCGACGGAGGGCCGGGGGCCGCGCGCGCCCACCCCGAGACCCGCCGGCGCGTTCGCCTGGCGCGCTCCCTCCCGCCGCGTGTAGCTGGTGCGCGGCGGAGGCCGGTGCCCGCTGCCGGGCCTTTCATCCTGGCGGAGAGCCGCGCTTACCAGACACCACCTCCGGTCAGTCCTTCCAGCCTGGATTGTGAGCCACGGAGGGAAAAAGCCAATAACCAGTAACTAGGACGGAAACGTAAAACTAAAGGCCAGTGGGGCCCAGTTACTGCTTCTGCGCCATTTAGCCTGAGAACATCTGCTCTGCGTGTCCGCTTCCCTGTGTTGAATCTGAAAATGTGGGCTCTTTGGAAAGCTGCCTTTGGTAGGAGCAGTGCTTACGTCTCATCTTTAACTTTTCTTTTTTTCAGCAAATATCTGTTGAGTTCCTGTTTTCTGGAAAAGATCGCGTTAGACACTGGACTAATAGATGAGAAGAAATGACCCTCATTCTGAAGGACCTTAGAGTTCGATGAGGTGACAGCCGCTTAAATTGTTGAACAACACGCCCTGAGATATATAACGAGCTGGAGACTTTCTTTTGCCTTTGAACACCCGTGTTCTTTGGGCTCTTTTGGCCTTCCCTTGGGCTGCTCTTCCAAGAAAATACTGTTAGTACTGCATTCGAACTTTCTGTCTCTCAAGAACCCTCTCCTGACAACTGTGACATTTCTGTCTTCCTGACAGCGTTAGGGGCCTCTTCCTTGGTTGTATATTTTCTTGATTTTGTACTGCCTCCCCTAGTCTAGACAGAGCTCTTGGAAGCAGAGGAAATGTAATTTTGGTCTTATATTCCCCAGTGCCTTTTGCTGAAAAAAAGTTTTGCTTTGGACAAATGGATGTCTCCAGTCCTTTGTTACCTCTCAGGAAACTCCCCTTATTCTCTTATGTTACAATGTATTCCTCTCTTCTCGCCCTTGCATTCGTTCAGCAAGGTGCCTGCTGAATACCCGTTGTATTCCAGATACTATGCTGGGCTCTGATTGTGGAGTGGTAAACTCAAATCAAAGCAGTGTTTGCTCTTTTAGAGCTCACGGTCTCCTCAGAGGGACAGACACTAACCAAACACATAGATGTAAAATTATAATTGAGGTATGTGCTCCTGTACATACTTTTGCTATGTAACAAACCATGGCAAAATCTAGTGGCTTACAGCAGTCCTTTAGCCAACTCAGCATTCTGTGAGTGGGCTGGGTGGTTCTTGTATTTTGGTGGGCTCTTTTATATCTTTCTGGTCATCTGTGGGTCAGCCAGTGGCTGGATGAGCAAGGATGGTTTCACTCACAAATCTAGGGGTGAGGAGGGGTGAGAAGGCCATCAGGGAGGGCAACAGAGGCAACATGTCAGTGACCACTTTTGCAGTACAACACAGGTGGTAAGGAGAAGTGCATGGTGCCAAGATAGCATATACTTAATAGCGAAGTTTGGTTTGAGCTAGTTGGGAAAGTACTTCATTGAGAAAGTGACATTGGAACTGAGATCCAAAGATTGGGGAGGGGTTAACTAGGTGAAGAAGGACAGAAACCCAGTCCAGAGAGAGGGACAATATAGGCAGATTCCTTCCCTCCCACCCCCAACCCATTCCCATCTACCCTAATTTCCGTGTCTCGGAAAACAGAACTACTGTCCCACTGATTATTCAAGTCAAAAATCTAGGAATCACCCTGTCCTTTCCCCAGGCACGCTGACAATTTCCATCTATTCCACCTCCAAAACATATCCTGAATCGTCCTTTTTCTTATCTTCTGCATCACGGTAATCCAAGCTACTATCACCATGCCCTTTTACTGCAGCCCTCTTGTTGGTCTCTCCACACCCACAGTTACACATGGCAATGCAAAATAAAAAATGTAGATCAGATCATGTCAACCTTTCAAAGCCTCTGCTGAATCATCTGAATGTTTACGTCTCCCCAAAATTCATATGTTGAAAGCCTAGCCGCTAATGTGACAGTATTAGGAGTTGGGGCCTTAGGGGAACTTTATTAGTGCCCTTTATAAAAGAGACTCCAGAGAGCTCCATAGCTCCCTTTGCCTTGTTAACTGAGACAAAGGCTATCAGGAAGGAAGAGGCTCTCACTGAACGTCGAATCAGCTAGCGCCTTCAAAACTGTGAGAAGTAAAAAGTTACAGTTTTGTTTTATTTTCATAAGCTACCCAGTTTACAGTAGTGTTTTGTTTTGTTTTGTTTGCTATAGCAGCTTAAATAGATTAAGACAGACTCCCACTACACTACTCTGGCTGTAAAGGCTTTATCTCATTCTTGCCTATATATCTTCTTTCACTGCCCCACTGTTAGAGGTATAATATCTTTCTTTCTGTTCTTAGCATATCCAGCTCATTTTATTTTTTGTATTTTATTTATTTATTTGAGAGACACAGAGATAGTGACAGAGATAGCAACGAGTCTGGTGAAGAGGGAGAAGCAGGCTCCCCGCTGAGCCCGGAGCCCCGTGCGGGACTCGATGGGGCCTTGGGATCATGACCTGAGCTGAAGGCCGATGCTCAACCCGCTGAGCCACCCAGGCACCCTTAAGCTCATTTTAAGAACCAGTTTTGTGTTTGGTTTTTCTCTGCCTAGAACACTCTTCCCTCGGATCTTTACATGGCTGTCCCCTTCTTACCACATAGATTCTGTAGGCATGGAGTGAGGTTTTCTCTGGTCACTTTGTTACATTGTATCACTCTGTTTTATTTCCTTCAAAGCACATGTCACTCTCTGAAGTTAACCTGTTTGTTTATAAGGCTATTTTTGTCTCCCGTGACTAGAATATATTCTGCATGAAAATAGGCACTTTGCTCTCTTGTTCACATTGTATTCTCCACAGCACCAAAGTCCTTTATTCACAGTAGGAACTCAGTAATTCGTTGAATTTATTGATGAAAAAATGAGTGAAACCCCCCAACAGCAAGAGCATGGTGTGTTTGAGGAAATGGAATAAAGTCAATGAAGCTGGAGTGGAGGTGGTGGGCATCAAGATATGTGATGTAGTTGGAGAGGTAGGGAGAGGTCAGCTCATGTAAGGCATTTTTAGCCATGCTAAGGATTTCATCCTTGCTTCAGAGAAACAGAACCAATAGTGTATAGGTATATATATTCTAAATACAGTGTGTGTATAAATATGTGTTTTTATTATCTATCCATCCGTATGGTTTATTGTAAGGAACTGGCTCATGTGATAATGGAGGCTAAGTCCCAAGATACGCAGTCAGCAAGCTGGAGACCCCAGAGGGCTAATGGTATGAATTCCAGTCCAAAAGCTGTCAGACAGGAAACTCCACGAAGAGCTGGTATTTCTGGCTGAGTCAAAGGCTGGAAAAAAAGCAATACACCAATTTAAGCAGCCAGGCGGGAAATAATTCCTTCTCCCTCAGCTTTCTTGTTCTAGTCAGGTCTTTCATTGATTGGATGAGGCTTATCTATGTTCAGGAGGACAATCTGTTTTACTCAGTCTATCAAGTCAAATGTTAATCTCATTCTGAACTGTCCTCAGAAACACACCCAGCATAAAGTTTGGCCAAAAGTCTGGGCATCCTGTGGCCCAGTCAAGTTGAGGCAAATTAAGGATCACAGTCCTTATCTTACCATTGATGTAAAGGTATTTATATGTTATAGCAACTACTGTTTATTCATTATGTAACTTTTAAATCATTTAGCAAATGCCTCATGTAAAATTTTTGAACAAATAGGTATATGTTTCAGCCTCCACCCAGTATATAGAATGAATATGTTCTAGGAACCCTTCTCCTGAGCTCCGAGCCCTTTGGTCTCTCTTTCTTGTTAACAGACATTTCAAAACATGTATCAACATAATTGTTTTTAAATCTTTTTACTACTTGGAGGCACTTTTGAATAGGCTATACTTTCTCCTGGTACACATCATGCCATAGAAGAGAAGCTGGAGGCCTGAGAAGACCAAGGGCTTTGGCCATAGTTAAATAAAATTGTAGAGAAGCTGGAATTAAGTCCTTTGTCTTCTCTTTCCAGCATTCTTTCCACTGTGCCAGGATTGGTCTCTCTAGAAATCGATCTCTCTCTCTCTCTCTCACACACACACACATTTTTTCAAAGTTCTTAAACAAATGGAAACATTACATAAATTAGTTTAAGTAGCCAATGAACGACATTCCGTATATGGAATAAGGAGGGTGTATGTCAGTGATTAGTACATCAGAGGTATAGCATTCCAAAATCTCTGGAATTAGTTTCAAGCTACAAGTAGTATAACCTGTCTTTTCACTGACTTTTCTTAGACTATTACATGTTTGTATCTTCATAGTGAAAATAGCACAATCTTAGTTTGCATAACATTGAATGAATGCCAATTTATTTAGGTTGGTTTAAGAAAGGTCCAGTGGAGGCAAAGAGTTACATTAACTTCATTTATTCAACACTGTTTGCTGAGAACTTGTCATGTACCAGGATTTACCATTCTTTAACCCAAGTGCCCTGTGTAAGGTGGAAGAAGACAGCTATACACATAACTGGATCTGTTATTGAGGTGATGATATAGTTTAAATTAGATTTTATGTCATTTTTTAATGTGAGTATCCACTTTTAATATTTTATATATTTGTCAGAATGAGAGAGAGTGCACAAGCAGGGGGAGCAACAGGTGGAAGTAAGCTCCCCGCTGACAAGGAACCTGATGCAGGACATCCCAGGACCCTGGGATCATGACCCAAACCAAAGACAGACACTTAACTGAGCCACCTAGGCATCCCATATTCTTTTCTTAATCTTAGCTCTTTCCACTTTGTTGCATTTTAGAAATGTTAAGTGAATAACCATAATGTAGTGCATTTATAGGCCATTGTTTATGCCAAAACAATATAACTTCAGATGT